TACGTACAAATGATGATAATGATGATGATGATAGTAATGTATAGGCCTACAGAGAACGGATGAAAATTTAGAATCAGTTCGTCATGAGTAAGCTGAAAATTGAAGAACTGTATAACCAAATTTATTACTAGACTATTTATACCTGTCATATATAATAATATACGTTTATATATTGGATTACATATTATACACAATGGTATGGTAGACCTAATCCTCCAGCCGCACTATGGCCCTGGGGTCGACACAGCCTCTTAACAGAAATGAGTACCAGGAATCTTCATTTGGGTAAAGGGCGGCCGACGCGTAAGGCTGACTAAAATTCTGTACAAAAATATTCGTAAGTGCTTTCACTATAGTGTGGATACAATTGTTCTCTTTTCGACTGCCTGACCCCATCAGAACTTTCCCTGCACAATGGTTTTTTTTTTCTCCATTTGTTTCATACACAAAAACATTCTGAATTGAGTCATATAAAAAACTATGAACGCTGATGGGGTTTATATAGATTTATAATTATATTAGTATAAAGGATTACTGTTTCATGATCCCATTATAACAGAGGATTTGTCCAGGGAAAGTAATTTAATGGTTATACAACTTACCCTACATCCATCACTGAATCCTCTTTGCCACGAACTCACAGACTAGTATCCCTCTCTTAATTAAGTTAATGATGTTAGCGATTTACAAACCAAAACAGAGGCCTATAACCAATTTGATGTTGTTCAATGACCCTAGTCCAATGCTGGATATTGAATGATAGGCCACTAAATAATTATTTATATTTAAGAACAAATTCTGCTTTTTTTACAGCCCGGAACATTAATGCTATCTGTATCTCTGATTACATTTCGTGAAAGTCAATATACGTAGCCTGTGTAAATGTGATATCTTTTTTTTCAGACCGAAGCCTGAAACTGACCACAGGCAAAAGTTACATCCAAAGAGCATCATCATGAACTATCCAACTCATTGCGCTGAAGTCTTACGTTCAGGCTGGATATCAGTAATAATATTCCGGATTTAAATTTTGTGTAGATTTCTTTCCTGTTCCTAGACATACAGTTGCCTAATCAGTGCGTTAGTTATATTAATTTCTTTAATGCATACCACTGTCATCATTATCTTTGGCGTCGCCATCATCATCATCATCATCATCATCCTTATTATTGTCATTATTATTCTAATTATTTTATATTTGCATGGTAACATATACCACACATTTAATTCGCTCGTTATCTGAAACAAGTTTATATTCTCTTCTTACGTATGAGAACCATTTTCACTATCTTACATCAACTGTAATTGACCTTTTTGTTAATTAATTTAAGGAAGTGTTATTTTGAGACAGACCTGTGTTCAGATCTTCAATAACATACCAGTAAACAAATCACACAGGAAGCAAATGCTTTACAGGACATAAACCAACCACAATATTTTCTGTAATACATAAAAAGAATACAGGTAGCATCTGTAGCACATTCTTCAGCTGGCTTCTTTGCCTCAGAATGTGCTAACAGCCATTTTTGAGCTACAACTCCGAACTTCATGTGAGGAGAAACAGATAATATCTCCTTGTTGAAAAGTGGAGGAACAGTTCCATTAGATTACATTATAAGACAACATAACATGGGTAACCAACCCTAGACAAGATTCGAAATACATAAAAAGTGATGCTGGAAATACGTTACAGGTGGGCACTATTGATTCAGGTCAATTGTTATTACACACTAAATACTTAGCAGGAACAATAGATCCCAATCGCTGTGAAGGTCATGCTGGTAACCTAACATTTCTCACCTCATAAAAACTTACTTATGTTTCCAATATCATTATGACAAAAGCTGTTTAATGTAAATATAAAATAATTTTAACAAAATATCAGGTTATCAGTTCTTAAATAAAGTCATCAATGCCCTATAAAGAGCCACATATACGCAATTTAAGCTACAGACCTATCAGAATTCTGGTAATTCAGTTTATAACGTATCAGTACTGTTTAACACCAGAAAATGCTTTTGGAAATATCCATTGTTATGTGCACTAGATCATCCATTCTTTGAGTAATTCTATCACATTGAAATGTTACAAGGAAACAAAATCCCTAATTTGAAACTTTGGTTTTAATTATCTTCTATATTACAAAGTTAAGTCGATTATCATTCCGCACCTGAGCTGTTAAAATTTTCTTCCATGTGAAGAATCATCAGTTCTAATTTACAGTATTTTCATGAGTGGCTTTTGTGGGTATTCAAGATCTCCCATACTGTGCCTTTCTTGCTCTAAACACAAACAGAGAACAGATATATCTCACTAAAAGCACACGGCAAACACTGAACTCCACGAAACTTATCACTGTAAATTTTAACCAATAACAAGTTTTTCAGTAAATCTATTTGAATGAATACACAAACCGTCAACAGCTGCATATTAAATTCAGTGTAATTTATGAGCATGATTTTAAAGAAAATTGCCACTATAAGGATCAACCACAAAAATAACAACTGTTAAAATATTTGATAATTCCATATAAAATAGCTTACTACATCAAAACAGAAGTTTCAGACTTCATTTTTGAAATATATTTCTGTCACGAATTTTAATACCACCCTGTTCAGGATGTATTGCTCAGACGATGAAAATTAAATTATTACATAGATGTCTGAAATAATTAGTAACAAAAACTAAAAAATGTTTATTTTTAATATTTTCATAAATATTTTTTAATACTTTCCTTACAGAGTATTTACATCGAAGATATTTAGCGAATATTCCTTACCGGTAAGTATATTGTGTAGTGTGTATTGTGTAGTGTATATTACCGACTATTTCTGATCCCTGCCAATGACAATGCTATGAAAGCAAGAGTTTGTCAGAAATTCATTATTCTGAACTTTACCAATTTATTTTTACCAAGATACTTGACACCTTTCCGAGCCGGGGTAGCGTAGTCGGTATAGCGACTGGCTACTGGGTGGACGACTGAGGGGTCAGAGTTCGAGTCCACGTATGGTCAAGAATTTTCTTTTCTAAGAATTATCCAGGACGGCTCCGGAGTCCACCCAACCTCCTATACAATGGGTACCGTGGGGCCCTTTCCCCGGGGATCAAGCGGCCGGGGCGTGAAGCTGACCACTCACCTCGAACTAGTGCCGATGTCAAGAAAATGTGGATCCATACATCCACTCCCCCATACTCCTTCATGGCGTAGTGCTTAATTCACTGAGCACAGGGACAACTTTACCTTTTTACTTGATAGGTTTGATAGCCAGTACGTATATGACAGATCTTGTAGTGGCTGAAATATGAAGGCTTCTTTTTAATAAAAGTGATAGTTACATACAGCGCTGCATTTTGACGGTTTGTGTATATGCTAATATCTAATAATAATGTTTGCTCCTAGCAACAAATTCAAATTACAGACAGTTCTTAACTTTAATTTCATTTTTGACCTCACACCCTGACAATTTCCGGCTCAGTCTTGTTTCACTTTCGGATCATGTGACTGAATACTTGCAGATGTGTCTGCAGTTATCAGTTTCTACTAAATTTTCCAAACAGCGAGAAGAGGTTTAAGAATTAAAAACCGTCTGCATAATTTGATGGAACTGGCAAACAGTTACGTACTTAAAATAGGCCCATCAAATGGTGACACAAGCTCACTGATTGAAGGGAAGCAGAGTGGTAACATCAGGGTTGCATATGAGGCAGGAGCCACCAGAGTTTTCGAATGCTGGTCGGTACTTGCGTACTTACAGAAATGTTGTGTTTTTTTTAAGTTCATACTGACCAATGCCATGATATTGCCTCGTAACAGGCAAGAAGAACTTACAATTCTTTGTATTCAGAACTCGATAATTCTTAATTGATTTCATTCGATTCCCAGAAACATTTGCAGATGCTAGACAATCACCAATATCGCCCACAAAACGACCAATAGGTAACTACAGGCGAATCCCAACTTGCGAACATGTGTTCACTGAAATGTGTTTCTAAGTTTAATTTTCTTTTTTTCCGTTAAATTTCTTAACGTCAATTTGTTAAAACGTTTGTGTAAGTGCGGGGTTCTGTGTTCGCTAACCGAAACTGGGAATACCAATTTATTAATCCGTGCAATGTTCGTAAATGCGAATCGCTAGTTTCTTGAAAGTTCGTAAGTAGAGGCTCACCTGTAATTGGAATACATTCCTTCTTGAGAAGCTAATGGTCGCTCATCTAGACAAGAAATACACAAATTTTATGGAACCTGAAGGTTCAGTGCTGTGTTCACAACAGTCCAGCACAGGATCCTATTGTAAGCCAGTTCAATCCAGCCCACACACTCGTATATTATTTCTCCGAAAAATAATTGTAGGATTTCGAGAAACACAATTTAGAAAAATAAGAAACGTAGTCGAGAAAATAATATCTGATTTTAAAGTGTACCTGAAGTGGTTTTGAACATAATCAGTAAGTCCCTACACGTGTGCTGTTCGTGTCCAATAGATACTCCACTCCTTGACATACACCCTGTATATTATTGTCTTCTCGGCGGCTTCTCCTGTTTTTGCTTCCAGACGATTCACATCTCGAATTTTGTCCATGTAAACGTAATTATTTACATAGCCCCAAGAAAGAATTAAGCGGTGTGATATCAAGGCTTCTAGGTAGCCATAGAATTTAACCTCCCCTGCCAAGCCACCTTGCAGGAAATGTTGCACCCAGAACTTCCGTAACGTGTCTTGAGAAATGCGGCTGTGCGCCATCTTGTTGGTGGCCGCTCATGAAACTGTTTCAGTAGAGGAACGTAAAGGTACAACATTCAGTGCTATGCCTTTTGTGTATTCGGAGAGAGAACGTACCGAAACCCCACAATTATTTTTCGGACATACTATACCATCTTTCCATGTTTTACAGCTTTACTAATTAAAATTTTGAATGCATATCCCATCTTAGCGTTCAACCAACAACTGTCTGTAACCATAAAATGAACAGACTCTTATCAGCGCTCTGGTGGTGACTTCCTTCTTCATAACGGCTCCAAAGAGTCACCATTTTGGGAACATTTTGCCCTCTAAGGCAACAGAGCCTCATCACAGACTGCTCCCGAACTCGCTTGAGCGTCTCCTATCGATATGTTTGAGGTAAGTCTCAGAGTAAATGCTCCGTGTCCTTTCATCATAACGAAGAGAGTGACGCCGCATATCCAGGGCATCGAGATCCGACGGCGGGCGTCGGCACAAACTGCAGAAAGCACACTGAAGAGTGTTCTTGAACGCTTCTCTGAAATCCCTGTTGAAATACGCGTAGATCAGTGGATTCAATGTTGAGTTGAAATAACCGATCCAGAACACGACAGATACCACGATATCCGGACAGGGGCAGGCTTCCCCGCAAAGGGTTGTGCTCACGTACCATAAGAAGAAGGGCAGCCAACAGAGGATGAAGGTTCCCATGATGACGCCCAAAGTCCTTGCTGCCTTGTGCTCGCGCTTCATTTTGATGATGTTCCGTTCTTTCGTAGGGGTTGAGTGCAGATCCCCGTGGTGGATTTCGTGCATGGTGAGTGTTTTGGAGGAGCCACCACTGCTACTCAGCACATCACCGTTACTGTTGTTGTGCTCTCTGTGTTGGTTCATCAACATGGCGTTCCCTATCCTCGAGTGAAGTTGTTTCTCTTGTCGATTCGCCTCTTTAAATATGGCCAAATATGTGAACACCATAATCGTACATGGGATCCAAAAGGAGATCGAAGAAGAAACAATTACATAAACCTTATTCACTTTAAACTCACAAATGTCCGGATTTTCTAACCTAAACAACTGATTCTCTTCAGTGGTGTACCAGCCTAGGAATATGGGAACAAAAGCAATAACGGCTGGAGAAATCCAAGTGTTTAAAAGCATAAATGCGACAACACGCTTTGTCATGTTTATAGGATATTTGAGTGGTTTCACAATCGCATAATACCTGTCTACACTTATACAGCACAGATGGAGTATGGAAGCGGTGGAGAAGTACACATCCAAGGAGTTCCACACGTCACACATGAAGTAACCGAACATCCAACGTCCAGTTAGCTGAACACTTGCGTTGAAAGTCATTGCCACCATGGCTACAAGCATGTCTGCCAGAGCCAGCGAGACCACAAAGTAGTTTGTAATAATACGTAATTTCCGATGCCTCATCACACTTACTATGACTAGCAGGTTTCCGAAAATGGCAGCGATGATAATGAACCCCATGACACCTGCCTTCAAGATGAGACTCAAAACGTCCGTCCATTCTTGTTCCCCTTCCAAAGACGGTGATACAGATGACGTCAGATTGTCCAATATGGCGTCTACAAGTGACGTTGGTGTAATGTCTGACGTGTGACTTAATGATAATGTTGATGGTGTAGGGTCGTAACGCAGCAGATGGTGTCCACTAGATGGATCAGTGATTTTAATGTCGGGATTAGACGCCATCCCATAATACACCTCAACAGTGATATAATCCTCCTGTTCTAGCGATATCTTACGATTGTCTTTAATAATATACGTGCCGGATATTTCGTTTTACAATTATTAGAAAGGATTATCATGGGAGCCAGAAGAATTCATGATCCCTCGTCCGACTGGAGATGGTGCTGGTGATGGTGATAATGGTATTGGCATGTGAACGGCCGTGTCTTCTCCATCTGCTTCCAGATCATCTCACTTGGTTTCCGGTAATCTGAGGACAAACAAAGATAACACTGAGAACGTAATTACACGTGACTGCAAACCATAACTCCCTCTTTAATATGATCAACGGATATGAACATGAAAGAGATAAGAAATGCATAGAAACCGCCAACTCAGAACCTTGAGAGATCTCAGATGATGAGATGATGACAGCAAAATAAAGGGTCTCCGGATGAAAGGTATAAAAAATAAAAAAATGTATATCTCGGAAACTAATTGTCATACACGTACCCGGTTTGTCATGGGAAAGGAAATCCCTGTAAATTTTTTCATGCCCGGCTTACGCGCATGTGCCGCCACATTTTTGCCACATGTTAGGAATGACTTGGACAGAGAGATGGCTGGGAGATGGATCGGCAGAGATGAACCAATTGCTTGGCCTCCTAGGTCGCCAGATTTAACCCAGTGGATTTTTTTCTTGTGGGGTTATGTGAAGAACATTGCCTACGAGGTTAAGATCAACGACCTGCAACACCTGAAAGCCCGCATAAAGGACGCTGTGGCTACGGTAACACCAAACATGCTTTAAGCCTGGATATCTGTCGTACAACATAGGGAGCCCACATTTAAATTTACTGAGAAAGTTATATACTCAGAAGAAAAAAAACGTTGATAGTTTCCCTTTGTAATGGTGTAACCCATTAATGTGTATAATAAATTCTTTCTGAGATATAATGATTTTAATTTGGATACTTTTCATTCGGACACCCTCTATTGAAGAGGGTGTGATTGAAATACGTATGAAGGGATGAACACAGACTGGGAAAAATATTTGTACCTAAAGAGGATGAACAGGAGGATAGAGTAAATTACATAGCAAGGAGCTTCATATATTTTACTCCTCGCCAAATGCTATTAGAAAGACCAGATTCAGGATAAGACGGGATAGGTGTATGCCATGAATGGACCATTTTGTACCCAGTAGATTTTGATGAGAAAACCTGGACGTAGGAGACACTGTTGGAGACCTAAGCACATTCGCCCTGTGTAATATTTCGTAACACGCAGTTTATTTTTAAGGTGAGCAGCAGTTAGTCCCATGCCCAACCCCAAGCTGGAGCACCACCCCTTGTCGTCCCTCTGCGATTGCTTATTCAATTTATTCACACATACTGTTCATACGTGTGGGCCGTATCTTCCATCCGCAACCTGGGGACCGGCCATGCCGTGGTGACAAGTGACTCACTAAGTCAAGGAGAGTGGGATGGGTTGGGTATGTCACACGCATTCGAGGGAAGAGGAACGTACACAGGGATCTGGTTGTAAAACCAGAAGGAATGAGACCACTAGGAAGACTAGACGTATATCGGGGATAATATTACAATGTGCCTTTGATGAATGGAATGGGGTTCATCTGGCTCACGATACAGACAAGTGGCAGACTGCTGTAAAAAAAAGGTAATCTCTTGTGAAGACGATAATGAATCTTCGGGGTTCCACAAAATGTTGCGAAATGTCCGAGAATACTTCGAAATATAACAAATGCACCCTGGTATGTAAGCAACCAAACGTTACATACAGACCTAAATATACCATACATCAAGGACGTCATCAGAGAAAAAAGTACCTCACGCCACAACAAACTAGCAAATCACCCAAACGACATCCTACAGCCACTCGTTGAACCGCAGCACAATCGAAGACTCCGAAGACACTGGCCAGCTGACCTAAAAGAAAACTAATGAGGAACCTCCCACTGGGGAAGGGACTCACAACGTCATTAAAAAGCATCACAGCTCTTACGCCAGCAAACTAGCTTATAGAATTGTAGCTTCTGATTGCTTAATAAATAAATAAAAAAAAAATGTCCGAGCGATGAAATAACAACCAAGCGTCGTCTAATTTTTATGCAGGATATTTTAGCATAAAATAACTGCACCGCTTGGCAGCATCACTTTGCAACTATTTCTCTGACTTCTGTCCGATGACGTTGCCAACCAACTGATAACAAATTACAACTTTGTGGAGCACAATATCAACTTAAACCAAGCAGCTCGTGGACACAAGTCGGATGCCCGTAACTTTGTTATCAGCTACAGGAGGAACCCGGACCTACCCACACGAGCACCGTCTCCGTGGACGCAGTAGACATCACACACGTCATCCGCCTCGCCATGTTCCTGGGAAGAATTTACACGTATACAGGTCTGTAGGCAGCACGAGCCGGCCACAGTGGAATCCAACTTGAGGCATGGATGTCTGTGTGTGTTTATTCCGTGCTTGAGCTATCCTGTATGCACGAAGCGGCCTTGCGACAGGCTGATCCCCCATCCTAGGAGTCCTACAGACTGCGTAAAACATAAATAAACTGAAAAAAAAACAGGCCAAGACCCAACAAAGGGCTGTAGAGCCATAGATAGATAGATAGATAGATAGATAGACAGACAGACAGATAGGCAGAAGGACTAAAACTATTAAGTAGTTCATATCTCCGGCCGGTCACGGTAGCCGAGCGGTCTAAGGCATGCACTGTCTTCACTCGTTCGGAAGCCGAGATCGTGGGTTCGAATCCCACTCACTGCATGGATGTTTGTGTGCGTTTTTCTGTGTTTGTCTACAGTTAGAGGCCTTGCGACGAGCTGATCACCCGCCCAAGGAGTCCTACCGCATGTGTAAGATCTAGTAAACCGAAGTGAAACGAAGAGTTTCATGAAGGTAGGCCTCGGCCCAAATTGGGGCTGTAGTGCCAGAGAAAAAAAAATCCATATCTCCAGAGAACATGAGAGCTTCCGAGTATTTTGAGAAGAAATAGTCATCTCTCAGATGCTCAACAGATTCCCCGCCTTCTATGAAATCCAAAATTTCGTTACCCTTCTCACAAGAACGTACAGTCTGTACTTACTACAATATGGAGCCACTTATAGGAATCTGTAAGAGGCAGGAAGACTCAACTGAAATCAGGAAACAGTTATAGCTTTCAGGGGATGGTGGATGTGCTACATTTCAAGCGTATTTCACAACGCCTTTTCAACTACATAGATTATGTGGCACAGACTGAGATGCGAACATCATGATGAACTGAAATTCTTAATTAATACGATAATTAGATTAGATTATTTATTGATTCTTGGGTTATTTACCGAGATCGTCATGACGTCAGAAGCTGCTGAGGCTAAAGTGTCCTCAGTGGCCATTGCATATGTAATCGAACTCAAGAGATGGTACCTATTCCGATTTATTGTCACGCAGTATGAGTGACTCTCGACGGGGTTTTGATGGGTGATTGGATTTACTGACCACGTAAACACACGACTCGGAACTACAAGCAATTACAGTGCCACCGCTAATTTCCACAACTCACAAATCACCACAACACATATTAAGTCTTCACCAGCCGTTCCCTGGCAACGGTTTCTAACAATGGCTATTCATCTGCTTCCGTGCTCAAGCCCACTCTGAATGGCGATTCCCTTCCAACTGCCTACTTTCGTCACAGACTCTCCAACTGCCTTCCTTATAAACCCTTTACACAGACCGAGTATAAAACGCAGTTTCCAGCGGTACCTCTGTTGTTGCATGCGTATCCGTTACCACGGGAACGTGTTTACCGAGCCGTTACCTAGAAACGGTTCTGGTATATTTGTTTTTCTTGCGGTCGTTGCATAGTAACGGTTCTACACGCTACGGTATTCTGTCGGCTGGGCGGACTCATGACCGCATAGCTAACACGTCCGAGTTTCTACTCAAACCAAGCCTTGAATATAGGTCAGAGGTACTTCCTGTTTACGCTGTTGCAGACTTGTCTGGATCCACAAAGCACATAAGGTCTACTTTCTTGTATCAGGTTTGAGGTTCACAGGCCGGGGATCAGGAAATGTACTGTCTATCCAGACATGACGCTTATAGTTGTCATTGACGTTTCTGAGAAACCTGTTCGACTATTTGCCGTGAAGATGGAGGCACTGGGATCCTCAGAGAAACGCTGATAATGATCTATCTCAGAAGACCATGACATCCTAGGCAGTTAATTCGCTCATGCACTCATGTATAGGGTTCACATACTTGTGCGTCCTCTGGGGACCTCCGACAGGAATTCTCATTTGAGGATGTGACACCCCCTCTTATAACTTCCCCTAACATCACCACTTTCTTGTAGCGCTATTGATTTCCAAGGGCCAGTGGCGCATACAGAGCTCTCTGTCTCCTGCCCCACTGCAAGTAGCCTGCACACCATAATTATAACGGGCTAACAGCAAGCATAATAATAATAATAATAATAATAATAATAATAATAATAAAATAAGGTAAATGTATCCCTGTGCTCAACTAAGCACCACGCCACGAAGACATATAGAGGAACAGACGCGAAGCTCCATATGCTCTCGACTTCATCACCAGATGTAGGTTGGCGGTCACCTTCCTGCTAGGACCATTTTTACCAAGGGAAAGAGGCCTCGGTACCCATTTTGGGTCCAAGGATCGCCAGTGCATAGAACTGATTTGGACTCTGTGGAAAATGGATAGAACTCTGACCCTGCCGGGAATCGAACTGCGGTCGTGTAGCTTGCAGCCGAATCTCTATACTTACTGAATTCTAATCTTCTTCAGAAGCTGCCAGTTGTGTAGCTACTCAAGAATTTCCCAGCATTTTATGGAATCCGAAGGTTCATTACCGTGTTCACAAGAGACCTCCACTGGTCCCTATCCTGAGCCAGATCAATCCAATCCATACTATCCCATCATATCTCTCTAAGATAATAACGCAACCAAGAAATTATGACAGAAAAAATGTTAACCTCGAACATAATCCGAGACAGAAAGGGATAAGTGTGCTCATTGGCACTGCCCTAACGAGGGGCAAGAAGTGTGGACCGTATGGTACAGGAAACTCCTGAAACGTCGTTAGTTTTAACAGGGTTGTATTTCTTGCACTAGACACTGTTCAACACATATTTCCTCTGCAATTACTCTACCACAGGCACAAAGAAGTAAAGTAAAAAAGTATAGGTATCCCTGTAACAGGCCGTGGAGGCCCATAATGTTGTGAGA